CCAGTTCCATTATTAGCAACTACATTCTAATTCGGTCGTTCAGCTTGTAATCTGACTGGAAAAACTTCGGAGAAGACGCTCCTTCGAGATTATTTCCTCAGTAACAGGAGAGATGCATGGGTTCTATTTTACAAAAATATTTCAAGAGGTTGTGGCCCAGGATTTGAACCAGTTACTAATTGAACCTTCCCTATTCTATGTGCTTTGAGGAGGTGGATTGTTTCACCGTCCTTTAACAACGTCTTAGCATACATTTGAAGGACTTCTAAGTTAGGCTTTACTTCATCTTTTCGAATTATTAACGCCGACGCTGGAACTACTTCATCAAATATGTCTTGCTTACGACTTGATTACAGTCCAATTTCTCTGATAGTTCCGGATGCACTAGCTTTTGAGCTGAGTGGAGTTAAATCCGTGAATGGTTTTGTCTTCTTCAACTTTCGAATTCAAAAATCTCGTTAAAACTAACTTGCGGTACACCCTCCAGCAGCGATGCAGCGCTCGGTTATAAGGAAAGATCACGACCGATAATGTCTGAGCCAAGTGGCAGTGGCACAGAATACGAAATTTTTTGAAAGAAAAGATTTTCGGTTTAATAGGGCCTGTAGACAAACTGTCTTTTACCTGAGTATTGGGTAGTTTTTGCATGTTGGAGGAAACAAAAGGCATAAAATTACACATTTTCTCTCTTGAGCAGTTGCACTTGTGTGTAGAATCGAAGAGCCACGCAGCCATACGGGATTATTTTGGTAGTATTAGTAAGGCCCCTGTCTCAGTTAGAAGTTTGAGTACTCTAGATTGTCAAGAGCTGGAGCGCGTGCGAAATCCTGACGGTAACGAGCAGTTGACTCGTAATTGCAGAGTCTGATGAAGTGGCCCTCGCCTTTATCCTGTTTTCTTGACTTTGTCTCCAGACCGGGCCCACGTGGGGGGTTGGGAAGATGGGAGGTGGATGCATTGAAAGTCCACTTTCAATATTATCCAGCGGAAGTCATCGTCCCTGCACCACCCTGCTGTGGAACATACGGCGGACCTCGTCGAAACTGGCGGTCGTACCGTCGTCAAATGAAGATGAATACCGTTGACATTACGAGATCGTCATTAGACGATGAGTTTCTTTTCGCTGTAGAACAAAATGTTTCTAAAACATTTGTTGCTTAGGAAAACATTATTTTGCCATACAATTTCAGTCGATCTAAATCCTTCAGAACGAATATATAACGGTGAAATATGTCGGAATCTGTGGGCAGATACTTAAGATATTCTTGGGGAAAATAGTAAAGTAAAAGGACTCGCACAAAATAGGAAGACTTTTTAAAGAGCTTTAACTTAACAGGGTTGTCCAGCGAATGACAGAATTGAGCAGTTGTCCTGTTGAGCAAGATACCTCGAAAGTTATATGTGATCATGACTTTCCTTGATTCGAACACAAGGAAGACGGGAAAAGTGTGTCTGCTTGTAACACAAAGCTTGGATATTTTTTTCGAAAAAATCCTCTAGAAAGCACGCATTATTAGAGAGATTAGAAGCTCGTACTCCTGCCACCACCGAAGCACCTGAATCAGACTATCTTCTGATGCCTTGAAGCACGAACTTAACCCGCCTAACTTCACTTAGTGCTATTTTTGAATTCTGTGTGTTTTTTTTCGAGATGGTGGCTACCCTCGTTAAGTATGCAATAGCTGGAATTGGCGTTGGATTTTTAACCTATTGTGTGTATTTTGATCGAAAAAGGCGAAGCGACCCACAATTCCGGATTAAACTAATGCAGCGTAAGCCTACATTCCTTCCGAAATAACTATTTCAGGACGCCGTGAACGGGAACTTTCTGCCAAGAAACAGTCCATGCCGGCATTACCACCTCTGAACGACCCAAAGGCGATTCACCGTTTCTTCCTCGAACAGATTCAGCAGGGAGAGGTTGCACTTTCAACTGGTGCAATCGATGAAGCGGTGCAGAGCTTCGCTCTAGCTGTCGTCGTCTGCGGTCAACCTACACAGCTTTTGCAGGTTCTGCAGCAGTCTCTAAGTCCACCAGTGTTCTCCAAGCTAGTTTCCGCGTTGCCTGCCGTGCGAAAGGTGCCTCATCCTTATTATTCTTACACACTTCTTAGATGGTTCTGTCCACTAGCCTTCCCACAAGAGGTTCGACTGTTGAAATAGAAGAGGAGCTCGAGTAGATGAAACATGCATGTACTATACTTTTAAATACACTTTGACCATTGATTATGCCTTTTTAACTGAAGATAATGCTGCCATTGGCGATTAAAATTTATTGTTCGTAGATCTGGCTTCCACTCCTTATTCTCCTCTGGGCCCTCTCCGGCGTTGTCGCCGCAGATGTGGATCCATTCCATATGCTCCCTGTCCGAAAAGATGGGAAAGATTCAACAAAAATTTTTAAGGATGTAATTTCTCGTCCAGATCGTGCACATGTCATTCTCGTCCGCACGCTTCTTCATCAGCTTTTGGATAAATTGCCCGACGAGTCAGCTAATCTCCCCGGTGGACGTGTTCTCTTCCGTTGTGTTCTCACAAACGAAGACTTGTCCATTTTAAAACGCT